ATAATGATATGAATTTCGATATGGTTATTGCTAATTATGGCGACAATACCATTAGTGTTATTCTCGGATATGGTAATGGATCTTTTACAAATCAGACAACCTATTTAACTGGTTCGAAACCATACTGCTTAGCTATGGGTGATTTCAATAACGACAAACAATTAGATATCGTTGTAGGCAGTTATTATAGTTTTAATGTAGGTGTTTATCTTGCATATGGGAATGGTTCTTTTACACAACAAATTACATTTTCAGCTGGTAATAGTCCAACATCTTTAGCTATTGCTGATGTCAATAATGATACTCGACAAGATATTATTATTGCCAGTATTAATCTTGCAAGTGTACTTGTTCTTTGTGGAGATGGTACTGGTAATTTTCCAAATAATATGTTATTCAATACTGGCGCTCCTGCATACTCTGCAGCTGTTGGTGATTTCAATAATGATGCTCGAGTCGATATTGTCGTTGGTAAAAATGATAGTAATAGTGTTAGTATAATATTGCAGTTTAATCGAGGAGCACTTGAATATGAAATGAATTATGCATCTGGTGGTGGTTCTAGTTTACGATCTTTTGCCATTGCTAATCTAAATAATGATACTCATTCAGATATTATTGTTGCTAATTATGGTACTGACGACGTTGGTATTCTTTTTGGGTATGGAAATGGTACTTTTATGCAACAGATCATGTTTGACATGGGTTCAAATTCTCGTCCATCATCCATCTCTATGAATGATTTCAATGGTGATACTTATTTAGATATTGCTGTAGCAAATTATGGTACACAAAATCTAGGAATGTTACTCGGAAACGGAAATGGTTCATTTACAATTCAAACAAATTATTTAGATAATATGATTTTTAATCCTATTGCTATTGTTTCTGGTAATTTTAACGATGATAATCGATCCGAAGTTGTTGTTGCATATGATGGAAGTGATAATGTTGATATATTTATTTCATACAATACTGGATCCTTTATAAATCGACAGACATTTCCAACGGGTTCAGTTCCATTTGCGATAGTTGCAGCTGATTTTAATAACGATCATCAATTGGATATAGTTACTGCCAATTCTAATGATAATACCGTTAGTGTACTTCTTGGGTATCGAAATGGGTCTTTCACAAGTCAAGTAACATATGCAACTGGTTCTAATCCATATTCTGTAGCAGTTGGTGATTTCAATAATGATACCTACTTAGATATCGTTGTTAGCAATGGTGGTAGTAACACCGTTAGTGTACTTCTTGGGTATGGTAATGGATCTTTTACCGATCAAATAACATATTTAACTGGTCCTTATCCATATTCTATAGGAGTTGGTGATTTTAATAACGACAGTCGACTAGATCTTGTTGTTGTCAATGCTGATAATAGTTCAGTTAGTGTACTTGTTGGATATGGAAATGGTTCATTTGCAAATCAAATTCGATATTCAACTGGCTACGAGCCACGATCTATAGCTGTTGGTGATTTTAATAACGACGATCGATTAGATATTGTTGTTTCTAATTTAAATGATAATACCGTTAGTGTTCTTCTTGGATATGGCAATGGTACGTTTGCAACACAAATGATTTATTTAACTGATGCAACTCCACAATTTGTAACTGTTGGTGATTTCAACAACGATAATCGACTTGATATTGTTGCTGCCACTTTAGGTGTAAATACAATGACTGTCCTTCTCGGATATGGCAATGGATCTTTTCAAATGAAACAGTCGTATCCAACTGGTGTACTTCCATTATCTATTGGTACTGGTGACTTTAATAATGATACTCACTTGGATATTCTAATTATCAATTATAGTAGCAACGATTTCAGTATTTTTCTTGGGTTTGGGAATGGATCTTTTAATACTCAAATCCAATATTCAACTGGTTCTTCACCAGCATCTGCAGCTATCGGTGATTTTAATAATGACAGTCTGCTCGATGTTGTTGTTGCTGATTCACAAGATAACAATATCATGATATTATTTGGAAGTATCAATGAAAATTTTGTAAAATATACGACGCTTCCAATTATAAATGGTTCTCAACCACAATCTTTTGCTATTGGTGATTTAAATAATGATACGTATATGGATATTGTTATTGCTAATTTTGGTATTAATACGATTGGAATTTGTCTTGGATATGGTAATATTTCTTTTTCAAATCAAACAACATATTCTACTGGACCGAATTCTTTACCATCTAGTATCGCACTTGGTCATTTCAATAATGATACTATACTCGATATTGTTATTACTAATTCCGGTTCTGATAATATCGGTATATTTCTTGGATTTGGCAATGGTTCGTTTGGAAATCAAACAACTTATTCAACTGGTTCGTCTTCACGTCCATATTTCGTAACTGTTGGTTATATTAACAACGACGCTAAACTTGATATTGCTGTTACTGATAATGCCAACAATAAAATTGGTGTCTTTCTCGGCTTTGGTAATGGTTCATTTGAACATGTTATTTTCTATGCAATAAAATATGGATCTAATCCATTTTCTATTCTTATGGATGATTTTAATAATGATAAAAAATTAGATTTTGCTATAGCAAATAGTGGAACGGACAATTTAAATATTCTTTTACAAACTTGTTAATAATTTTTTTTTCTATTTTTAATTTGATTATATATATATATTTCTTATTATAAAATTTACTTCACAAAATTCGTAGGAATAATAAATGTGACAAAGTTTATTAATTTTTTTTCTGTGTGAATAAAAAAAAGAAGGCACGAAAATTCCAAGTCTTATCATTGTTTTAATGAACAGCGGATGTATTTTTAGTTGTTTCTTTATGTAAATTAGTTTCTGCGTTGATTTTTCGTTCAATATCAGCACAATATTTTTCCGGAACACCAGCACGACTACAGAGAGAGAGAGAAAATATTTTTCCGGTATTCAAAAAAATACAAAACTTACCGTAATTCTTCAAGTTTTTGTGTTTTAATTTGATCCAGACGAATACGACGTAATCTTGCTTCTTCTTCACGTCGTACACCTTCTTCAAAAAATTCAGCACGATCTTCAACTTTTTGTCTTTCATGACGAACCATTTGTGATCGTAAATCATTAGCAAAATGTTGTCGTTTAACAAAACGTTGAAAATCTTCACTACGATCTTTTTCAGCCTGAGTTAATTGTGCTCTAGAATTTTGGTTTATTACTTATATATATATAAAGAAATTAATTTACTTGAGAACACGTTCAAATTCTGCTCGTTCTCTTGCAGCTTCAACTGCTAAATGTTGTTCTTTATTTTTAATTTGCCAATCTCGTGCTACGCGCATCTCTTCTTCTGTTTGTGCTTTTTTAAAAGCTTGAAATTTTTCTTTATCTCGCCATTCACGTTCACGTCTTTCTTGTTCACGTTTAGCTCTTAAGGCATCTTTTTCAGCTTGTAAATCACGGGCACGTTCTTGTTTAGCACGTAAACGTGCAACTTCACGTTCTTTTTCAGCACGTTTACGTTCAGCTTCAGCTTCTTGTGCTGCTTCACGTGCAGCTTTAGCTTTTTGAAATTCAAGTACAGCTAAATCAGTTTGACGATCTTGTTGTTTACGTAAGACACGTTGTTCTTCAATATCACGATTAGCTTTTAATAAATCGTGCTAAAAACAAAAATAGATTCAAAGAACGAGAAAAAAAATTATTTACCGCTAATTTCTTTTGTACACCTTTTCGTTTCGAATATTCTTCCCAATCTCTCTCCTGTAATTTTTGCATTGCATCAAGCATAGCAGCATTTTCTTGTTCACGCATATCTTCTTTGAAAACTTTTTCACGTTCATTTTCACCAATTTGTTTTAAAATCATACTAGCACCTCTATAGATGAAAAGAACAAAAAAAAATTTGATTCTTAATGTTAAATAAATTTATTTACTCTTTAACTTGTTGGTGTCGTCTAAGTTCGATTTCTTCTTGAATCTTAATTGCATTAAGACGTTCAATTTCCATCATCATATCTAATCGTTTACTTTCTTCTTCCATTTCCTGTTTAATTTGTTGTTTTTCTAAAACTTGTGCATCACGAATAGCATGACATTTAGCATTTAAAACTAACTAGAAAAAAACAATTTTTTCATCAAATCGAATTTTTTTTGTAAACAAACTTCGTTGAGATGTTTAACTTCATCTTCTTGTTCTTGTCGAAGTTCATTAGCACGTTTTAATAAATATTCGGCTTCTTCTTTAGCTTCTTGTTCGATATCATCTAATGGAGCATTTTTTTTACGTTGTAAATCATAGGCTTGCATGGCTTTTTTTCGACGATCAAGTTCTTCCTATAGAAAACAAAAAAAATAGAATATAAATTTACTTTATTTAAATAATAATAATACTTCAAGCCATTGTTGATTTCGTTTCGTTTCTTCAATATTATATTCACGTGCATCTTTAGGATTATTACGAGCAGCATGTGCTAAACGTTGATATGTTGCATCATTAATTATTACGGAAGTACATGGTTGTTCTTCCGGTACAATCATATCTCTAATAAGATCTTTTGTAATATGCCTAATAAATTCTTTTTTAACTGGTCCAACTTGTCGTGTTGTACATGATTGTGCACGTCGTGCTTGATCATCAGCTAAAGATAAAAAAATTCTTTTTTTTTTGGGTTTAAAAAATATTTAACCTTGAGGTTGTTGACGTTCAGCTCTCATTTTTGCTGCTGTTGCTACCCTATGTGGTTGACCAAATAAAGTTTCATCAATTTCTGATTGAGCATTAATTGTTCGATATCGATAATTATTTCCATTACGTTTTGCATTTGCTGAACCTGAACCATTTCCACTACGAGAACCACTCGATGCTGATGCTGGACACATTTTTCGATTTTTTTATATCACAATCAAAAAAAAATAACGATGAAGAAATGTTTTATTCTTCTATCGCCATTACCTTTGCTCATTGTCTATGGTAATGACCTCTATTGAATGAAATCAAATTTTATATTTATTTATTTTAAATTAAATTTACTAGATTCAAAAGAGAAAAAAAGAATTCATTTTTGATATTAAATAAGTAAATGAAAATTTTTTTATCAAAATATGAGTCATCGAACATAAGATTTTACGTTTTTCGTTTCATTTCGTTTGATATTGATAGTCATGAGTGTTCTTCAACGTATATTTGGGAGTTCAAAACAACAAAAATCAAATAATATTACATCTGAAGAAGCTATTCAACGTTTATCCAGTGTTGAAGATCTTCTTAATAAAAAACAAGTACATATCGAAACACAAATTGAAAATGAAAAAGCAAATGCATTAAAATATTCCAAACAAGGAAATAAACGTGCAGCTATTTTGGCTTTGAAAAAGAAGAAGAAACATGAAAATACATTAAGACAAATTGATGGAACATTAACAACATTAGAAATTCAACGTGAATCTTTACAAAATGCTTCGAGTAACATGGAAGTTTTCCATGTTATGAGAAATGCAGCAGCTGCTTTAAAAAAAACACATGATAATCTTGATGTTGATCAGGTTCATGATTTAATGGATGACTTATCTGAACAAAATCATATTGGTAAAAATGAATTTTTTTCAAATAAATTATTTTTTTATTTTTTTTTAGGGGAAGAAATTGCCAATGCAATATCATCACCAGCTTTAGGAGGATCAGATTTATATAATGATGCTGATTTAGAAAGAGAATTAGATGAATTAGCGAACCTTGATTTAATAGGGGAAATGACTAATATTGGAGCATTACCAGAAGTACCAACAACAAATAAAACGAAAGAAAAAATTGATCCAATTCGACAACTTGAAGATCCGACTTTTTGATGATAAAAGATAAATTTTTGTTATTCAAGGAAGAGATAAAATAATGACGTGTGCAAAAAACAAAATTTATCTTTTTGTTGACGTTATGAGTCATTTTATTTGAAATAAGTCAAATTGTCTGTGCCCTTTTTTTTTGTTTAACAACATTTAATTTTACCAATTGAAGTCTATGAGACTTATAATCATTTCATATTTTTTATAAATAAAAAATTTTTGATTCAAATATACTCTTCAATGTCATATATTGATTATCATGAGCTAAAGAGGTATAGATGTACTTCATTATATATAAAGTATAGTTCTCGGACAAACAAATGTCATTTTGATACAGCATGTTTTATTTAGAAGAATAATAATGGAAATTATACAATATTCTTGTAAAATTTAGTCAACGTTTATCTTTAATAACTATCTTGAGGGTGTGGGTGAGTATTCTATTTCTTCTTTTCCATTCACACCCACACTCTCAAATCCACATTCACTCACCTTCACCCACACCCACACTCATACCCAGATATTCTTGATGTAGAACCCATAAGAAGTAAAGTGTTTTGTTGCTTGAATCTGATGTGACCATCGTTGTTACTGCCGTCGACTATGTTTAATAGCTTCTATTCTTTCGCGGAATGTATTCAAATGTCTCTGTATAGCATCAGTAACGTAAAAAAGAATCAATTTTTTTTCTTTTACTTGTTCACGTGGTTTCAAATGAAATAATATAGGGTTTTTTCCCTTCTCATGATTCATGAAAAGAGAAAAAACGCTACTGATTAGTCACTTAGTATATTTTCATGTTGTTGTTGCTTTTGAATTCTAACCATTTTGTTGGGATTTACCAACTTTACTTTTTGTTTGTCACTTACTAAATTCTTATATAAACTCAAATCAAAACTCGCTTCCAACATACATTAAAAAGTAAAAAATATTATCAAGAATTCTAGAACAGCATTCATTCGATTCAAACTATTGCTGACGCGGTGAGTTTTTCATTCTTTTCATACTGGATACTAATACTAATATATCTTCTGATCAGTATTTCACACAATCATAAACAATGTTCTAACTTGCATTAGTAGATTAAAAATAAACTGATTAGTTACTTTGTATAATTTATTAAGATTCTTCATACCATTTTGCAATGAAAACATGTTGAAGGTTTCTTTTGTATATTTATTCGTAAACTGACTTTTCAATGTAAAACTCACTTGAGAAGCTATAATGTCGAAAGGTACACTCTTAAAATTCGTTTGAAAAACCTAAGGGACCTTGTAAAAAAAAGAATGTAGAATATTAATGGAACTATTTTTAATAATTTAGGATCAATTATTCAGTAAACATTAAAGGAGTTAATTATCCAATGTATTTCTAATAAACCTTCGAACGGTATTCTCATTTTATCATACGAATGGTCTTTGTGGGTCCAGAGAGACCCACATAAAAATAAGTTAGATAAACCTGATTTTTCATCAATTCTGTAGTGGATGCGGTTTATTACACCTTATACCGTACTTTTTATCAAAGCGTGAATATATTAGTATGCCTGTGATGTATAAAAACAACGGGTTTTTTTCATGAAAGTTTTTGAAAATAGGTTATGATAAAATTTTGATTTTAAAATGTTACTGACTGAATATAGCAAAATCGTCAAAAAAAATTTAAGAATGTAAGTGGTTTGCTATTGGTAGTGTCGTACTAACGAATCTGGATTCAATAAACTCTAAAAAAGTAGATGGCAGGCGGATTATGTATTAAAATCGCTTATATAACATCAAAGGTGTCGATGGGTCCGTATAGACCCACAC